ATATAGATGTAACTGGCACATGTAAAACATATTAGGATTTACCATTCCTATGATAAGAAAAGTGTCTTTGAGTCTAATGAAAACCCTTGGCAATTTGAATATTATATGATACTAAATTATACTATAATTATTTCAAAGGTCAAGAATCTTAAACATTTAGTCTTAAAACTCTCCACCTGAGTGATGCAATCAGAAAATTAAAGTATGTATGAAAATATTTAATTATACAAAACAAGTAGAAATCTACAAATTTAATAACCTTTAAATAAAATGTGCAATTTTTTTCCCACATGGATTTTTTTCCTCCATTGCAAAAATGGAACTTGTTAAAAGAACATTTTTTTTGTGTGTGACCATGAGCAAACATTTTATTTTCCAGGGCTGGTTTCAAGGAAGGGTAGGATAAAATGATTTGGAATAGAGTATTGTATCACTTACTAACTCATGAGAAACTCTATGATGCTTTTATGCTGGGCACCACTGTACAATAAAAAAAAAAAATTGACTCAGATTCAATCCAGCCTTTTCAGGAATTCACAGTCTAGTAGGAAAAGGAAAACAGACAGCACAGGTGTGAGAGTTGTTTTTAAAACTGTGGTAAGAAGGGCTTTAAGAGGCAAATGTATACTAAGAAGAAGATCCCTGCTTGGTCCACAGCTGTAACTTTAGTCACACAAAATAGCACAGAGGTTAGGAACATGGACTGTGGAACCAGAATTTTGAGTTTGAGTCTCAATTTTACCATGTACCAGTTGCCTTTGGTGGTTTCCTTTAACTTCTCTGTGCCTCGGTTTCCTCATTCATAATTAGATACTTTCATAGAATTCATAGAATTGCAGTGTTGTTGCAAGGACTAGATAAGTTCATGTGAGAGAAGCAAGTAGCACATAGAAGGCACTCTAATAATATGAATCAACATCGCTTAAAAAGTACCTGATGGGGAGGCTGAGGTGGGTGGATCACCTGAGGTCAGGAGTTCAAGACCAGCCTGGCCAACAGGGTGAAATCCCATCTCTACTAAAAATACAAAAAAGTTAGCTAGGCGTGATGGTGGGCACCTGTAATTCCAGCTACTCAGGAGGCTGGGGCAGGAGAATCGCCTGAATCTGGGCGGCAGAGGTTTCAGTGAGCTGAGATCACACCATTGCACTTCAGCCTGGGCAACAGAGTAAGACGCCGCCTCAAAAAAAAAAAAAAAAAAAAAAAAAGGACCTGATGAAGTGCAGCCTTCTTTGTTCTCAGGCTTTGGGACATTGGGACATTCACAGTTAAAGACATGTTAAAACATCTTGCCAACCCCCCACAGACTCAATTATGGCTGGTTCAAACCTTACCTCTGTATAAGCAATGGATCATGTCTTAGCAGTGTTTTTGCTATCCTGCTTAGAAAATAAGCCCTTAGTGTTCTTAATCAAACACTAGAAAATTTGTAAATATTTTATTCCATTATCTGAACCAAAAAAAAAGTTATTCCAGTTGTTGATACAATTTGTACGCAGTACAAAAATCACAACCACAAGCACCATGTACCCAGACAAACAAAACATTGTCGAAGTGGGCATGATTAGCTGCTTTGAGAATTTCAGTTAATATTATTTTGCTACTTGTTTGCTCATTTGCCCTTGGAAGAACAGGCATAGAAGATGACGATTTAACAAAAATGTGAAGCAGAACAGTCATAAAACTGAGAAAAGCCTTGTGCTATGGTTTGAATGTCACCTCTCCAAAACTCAGATGTTGAAACGTCATGGCCAGTGTGATGGTATTAAGAGGTCAATCCTTTAAGAGGTGATTTGGCCATAAGGGCTTCTCCCTCATTAATGAGATTAAGGCCATTATAAAGAGGATTCATGCAGTTTTTGATCTCTTGCCCTTCTGCTTTCTGCCATGTGAGAACACAGCGCTCCTCCCTTTCCAAGGATGTAGCAACAAGGCATCATCTTAGAAGCAGAGAATGGTCATCACCAGAAAACCTAACCTGCCAGCATCTTGATCTTGCTCTTCCCAGCCTCCAGAACTGAGAGAAAATAAACTTCTGATCTTTATCAAATACCCAGTCTCAGGTGTTTTATTTATTTATTTACTTTAGAGATGGGGTCTCACTCTGTCACCCAGGCTGGAATATAGTGGCACAATCACAGTTCACTGTAATCTCAAACTCCTGGGCTCAAATGATCCTCCCACTTCAGTCTCCTGAGTAGTTAAGACCACAGATGCATGCCACTGTGCCCAGCTATATTTTTTTTCTTTTTTGTAGAGATGAGATCTTGCTATGTAGCCAGGCTGGTCTTGAACTCCTGGTCTCATAAGATCCTCTGCGATGGCCCTTTCAAAGTGCTGGGATTACAGGTATGAGCCAACCTGACCAACCTTTAGTCTCAGGTATTTTGTTACAGCAGCACAAATAGACTAAGCTACCTAGCCACTAAATCTCCTCATTCTTATTGCTTTATAAAAAATCATTTCCATCCACTTTTATTTGCACAATAAATCATGCCGCCTATTCAAGGCCTACTGTTCTGACATATGTGCCTCCTGAAATTCAGGTGCTATTTCTGTTCACCACAACTGTTTCTGCCACTGCCCCACTCTGCACATCAGGTTTTAGGTGTTTCCTCAACAACAGATCACATATTCTATATAGCAAGAGATCTATCCTGAGAGTAAAGCAAGTGCTGTAAAAAGAGACTCATAGAATCTTGGAACCAAACTTAATTTTTAAAATTATCTAATCCAAATCTTTCATTTCACAGAAAAAGCAGGCCCATAGAAACTCAAGTACCCCAGCAAGCTGGTGGCAGAATTGAGAATGTTTTTCCTTTTAATTTGCCATCCACCACTTCTGTGGATTTTTTGTTTTGGTTTGGTTTTGATTTTTATTACAGCACATTGCCAGAGAATAAACATAACTTCAAAACTGATAGTCAGAAGAAACACAAAATTTTAGGGCACAACTTTAAATAGTGACAAATCATGAAGACATCGAACTTCGAGAAAAATATGGACAATGGAATTTTAATCTAGACTCAAGCAATCACAATAAAACAAACCTACACTTGTCTAAATTCTACGGTCTTACAATGAAGATATGGATAAGACTTTGCAAAATATATTTATACATTTAAATTTGTATTTTATGTTCCTCTTTTCCCCAATCCAATCTGGAACATATTTTGTGATAAAAGCAGATTACACAGATTACAAGGGACTTCCCTTATCCAGAGCTCTGTGGTAGGCCATAAGTGTGAATGTGAGCATGAGAGGAGAAGAGAAAGAAAAAAAAAAAGAGGGAGGGAAGAGGGAGAAGGAAGGAGAAGGGAGAGAAAGAGGAAGAGTAAAACTATATCTCATTCATATACTGATGATTTTCTTCCTCCTTCATATGTTACTTATGAAGCTGCATTCCTACATTACAAATAAATTCAGACATGTTATTAAAGGCAAGCAATAATAAAAAATTTTATAAACAATCCATAAGCTATTTCAAGTTAGGATTGATATGCAAATGTTACCATTCTTTAATACAAAAATAAGTAAATATCAAATGCAAAATAAGAGGTTAGGGACATAATAAGTAAATTCAAATGTATAAAACAAGTAGATTTCAATTGCATTCAATTATTTCACCCAATCACCTAGAAGCGAAGATCCTCTAAAGAAAATTGCATTGCCTTCCCAACTCCTTGGAGAGCCAGTTTAGTTAACAGCCTACCTATGCTTCAGAGATGACCATGCAGCTTACATGTCAAACTCATTTTAAAGTGTCAATCAAGTCCCTTTCAATCTAATTAGTTTGGAAAGTAGTGTCACTGACCTGGAACTATGCAGACCATTTATTATCATATCATTTGATCAACCTAACACTTTATCTCAGTTGAGTTTGAGACACCTGTAGCCAAAATGTAATATCCTTTCTCCCACTCATTACTGGTAATTCTCAATACAATTTCCTATTTACAACTCAATTTGTCTCTATGAATAAGCATGACCAACTTCAGAGGCATTTCACAGAATTTCTCTTACTTAAGACTTCATAGCAAAATAGAAAGGAAAAGGGAATAAGGAGAAATATATGTATATCAGATACATATAACAGATTCAAGACTTTAGACATCCAATAACTGCTAAAAGGAGAAAGGAGGAAAACCAGAGGACCGTGGATACATGGAAAGAAATTCAGATCCTTAAATATAGGAGGAGATTTTTATTTTTTAAATGTAATACAATGAATTATATAAAGGGAGTCTGTTTTAATTATCACCATGTGCAATTTGTTTAATAAAGAAAAACTTTCTCAGGTTCATAGTATTTAACCTGTTTTTAACCCAGCCAAGGGCAGGATGAGATATAACTGAAGAGGTAATAACTAGTTCCTCAGGGGACAGAGAACACAGCCAAGTGCCTCTAAAGGAGGAGCTGAAGACCAGACCAGTGAGGCTGGAATGGGATGGGAATGAAGATGGTTGAGGTGCTGACCAACATGGCGGCTAGAAGATGCTGGTCAATCAAGCAACAGAAATCACCTGGCCTATTCCCTGGCAAGAGCATGAAAGTTACCTAATCTTTCTCTCATTTTAGCTTTGTCTATTTAAGAACTGATTTGCAAGACAAAAATACAAGCAGGTAATCTTATCTCTGAACTATAGAATAACATATTGCATCAGGGAGAGATAAAAATACACACATACACTCATGTATGCCATCAAAATGTTGTATTTATATTTTTAAATGTGGCATTAAAAAAAGAAGTATAGCAGTTATATTTAAAGTAATGACTATTCACTCTAGAAGACGATTATCTAAAAGCAGGATGTCAGCTGCCACTGCTTCCTTTTCTATCCTGTGCTTTCCTTTGGGGAAGTTAATCTGCATTTTACCAAAATTCCTGTTTGTCTGAAGGATAAGCAAGATTCTTCAATTATATTTGCTTGATCAAATAATTACCAGGAAATATTATTTTACATCTGGTCAAATAAAATCTACATATATCTCAAACTTACCTTCAGGTGAAGAGCCTGTCTTTTGGGAAAAGACAGCATTTACTTTGCTCTTCTTACTGATATCGCTGTTTACAGACAAGCTGGACTGAATTTTTCTATGCATTTTTTGCGAAACAGGTGCTGAAAGTTTGCGATTATCTGCAGATCCGTGTTTGGTCCCATGGTGAATTCCATTTCCATTGCTCAGACCTGTGTGGCCATTCTTTATCTTGCCTATTTCCTCATCACTCGACACCTGTGCTGAAGTCTGAAGCTGAGGCAAGCGCTGAGGTTGGGCTAAATTAAAAACAGGAAAAAGTCAGCCAGTTAAAGAAAAAGAAATTAATATTTTAAAATAATGAAAATACATTCAGTAGCAGAGATTTGGGGTTTTACCCATGATATTAACACTGAAGAGGCAACAAAGAAAAGAAAGAAAAATACTAACATAGACATAGAGAAAGTATAATTTACTAAAACAGAAAATGGGAACAGGGTCATCAAAAGTGGGTTTGTGCAAGGATATAAAAAGTAGACCAGAGACATACTGTTTTGGGAGGTTTTAAAGAAAATTTAAGTTAGAAATCTGAAAAGGTAATTTAAGACTCATTCAGAGAATGCTGATTGTTTTCTGTGTGCTGAGCCCTCTTTGTGCATAGACACAACAGTGTTATTTCAATACTACTACTAATAACAAACTACTCAATTGTCTTTTCAAATAAAAGGAAAGAAATGATAAGTTCTGGTATTCAAAGCTGAACAATACAAAGAAAAATACGGTGTTTTTAAAAAAAATCCCATTGTGAATCCTGCAGAAAAAAATCTTTTCTATATTTATTCTTTAATTTGATTTTGAAATAAACCAGTTATGAAAAGTTAGGAATACAAGATAATTTCTTTAATAAAACATATCTACCAAAATTAAATGTCAGGACTTTAGAAGTACATCGAATGCCCATTCTTACGTGACTTATGTAACATTATGCAGGAGATCATAGTACAAGCAATAAACAAGACAAAGAAATGTAATAGGTCTGACTTCTAGAAGGAATATACAAAATTTTTGAGCTGTGCACAGAGTTGAATGTTCTGGGGAACATTCAAATATATAGTACACATATAATCTAAGTTTAAGACTATAAATACTGAAAGTCTAAAAATGTAGCAAGATTGATACACAACCATACAAAATCAACAATGCTCCTGTAAGCAGACAGTAAAACCAATTAAAAAATATACAAGAAAAACAACTCTTCACAATAACAAAAAAAGAAAAGAACAAGCCAACAAACAAAAAAAGACGCTATACGTATCTTGGAATTAAACTAGAAAAAAATGGACAGAGGTTTTATGGCAAAAATTACAAAACACTACTTAAATGCATAGAAGAAACCCAAATAGGTGGAGAGAACATAAATATATTAATTATGTTAATTCTCCCCAATTTATTATTTAATGCTATTTCCATAACATTTCCAACAGGCTTGTTTATGGAACTTGACAAGCTGATCCAAAAATGTATATGGAAGAGTAATCAAGAAGGACCAAGGAAATTTTAAGAAGAAAAAGAGGGTTGTAGGATTTGACGTATGAGCCATTTCTATCACAGTACCTAAAGCAGTACAGCATTGGACCAGGCATAGACATACAAGCCAATGAAGCTTATGAAATTATTAAGCCCCAAATATGGGGCTCATATATTAATATAAGGTAGACATGCACACACCTACATATTTGGGTACAATAAATTAACATGCATAATTACATTATTATATAAATTAATATAATTATATCAATATAAATATTAATGTTTTTAATCAATATAATCTAAGTAATTATGTTGATTATATATATTTATATAACATAAAATATATAAATAAAATATAATTAATTATATAAATATTAATATTTATACAATTAATATTTGGGTATCATATGCTTAATATAATTAGTACATGTAAATTCCAAATTTATTAAATGCCCATATATAAAAAAACAAAACTTTTTATTTAAAGAGTAAATAGAGGAGACTGTTTTAATAGCATAACCACAAACAAATATGATTTTTTAGACAATGAATCATAAAACAAATGTGAATATTCACCTGTTGTGTTGTGTTGTCCAACATTTCCGGTTACACTCATGGAGTTACGTAAATTCCTCTACAACATCCCTAGGCTACTCTGGAGCTAGAGGACAAGGATGTGACCTACGTTCTGCCAAACAGAAGTGTGGCTTGCATTTGGAAGTGATCAATGCAAGCTGTTAGCCACACCAGGGTGGTGGAGCCTCTCAACACAGGGAGTGAAGAGGTATTTGTTGATTTTAGCAGTGAGGGAAAACTTATGGTGTCCACCTCCTAGCAAAGAGTGGCCTACTGCTACAGCAGTGGGGTTTTCAATAGAAAAGCCCTACTGAATGGATGGACATGATCCTTGGCTGTATAACTCTGGGATTATCTATGTGCTGCTAATAAATTTATTTTCTATTTAAATTAGCCAAGATTTTTGCAGCTAAAAGCCCTGATGCCCCCCAAAAGTTATCTGTTTACATTGATTAAGTATTAAAATCATCATTTACCTTCATTATATATATTTTAAGCAAAGTTATGTATCACAGCTTTTCAGCAAAAAACACGAGCAACAACAAAAAACATTCATGTGAAAATTGTACTGTGTTATACTTTCCTGGAATTTAAAAATCTAAAACTCGCTGTTTTAATTAGTCTTTTTTTTCTGTTCATGATTATGAGCAATTAAGAAATGTAAATTACAAAAGACTATGAAGAACTGTTCCACTTGGAAAAGTATTGCATGTAAGGATGTAACAGTTATACATTGGGTTGATAAATGTGCTAAAGAGGACTTGTTGGGGTCTACATAAGACTTGAAGCATTTTTCAGAAAAAAAAGACAGTTTGCCTCTGAGTAAGTCTTTAGTAAGCCATTGTTTACTTCAATTCTTTTTCATACATCCTATGTATTGTGAAGAAAAACACCTTAACATGTCAAAATATTCTACTCATTTACTAGCATATTTTAAGAAAAATGATGGATTTTTTTACCTAAATGCATACTTTCATACCAAGTCTATTAACATTAATATCTGATTTATAAAAACTAATATAGGACATCCTGTTATAGTTTTTCAGTTCTTTACTGATAAAGAGGAATAATAGTCTAAAAGTAAACATCTGTTCAGCAGTTATATATGCCCTTTTCATAACTAAAATCTACACAGCATCTGTAAAAGGAGATCTATTTCTTACGGGTGTGCAATGGTTTGATTTAGAGATGAATTTGCTGCTTCTGTAACTTCTTGTATCAACTAGAATGACATGCTAATGACTGCTATTGAACATAAAGCTAGTTATGCATATGTACTTTAAAAGATGCCAAAAAAGACAGTTAAACCTAATTTGGTGTTATTTTCAGAGCACTTTCCAGTAATCTCACCAAATAAATGGAATGTTTTCGGCCACTTTTTCCTCTGGAAAGAATATTTCAAGCAATCTGAGAGCTTGATTGAGTTGAAATGGCATTGACCAAAGCTGGAGAGACTCCTTGTCAATCAAAAACGTCCTGTCATATTTCATAATTCAAAATAAATTTAGAATTACTATGCAATAAATATTTTTCATAAATAAAAATAAGAGTGGTAAAAGACACTTGTATCCTGGCTACCAAATTCTAAAATTGACATATGTGACCTTTCTCTGCTATCAAAATTGACTATTTGCAAATTACTAGGTATGGCTGGAGTGATACTCTCATGCATGCTTAATGATTTATCTATATTTCAATCTTCAAAATGATATCCATTTCTGTTGGCAGATAAACAGCAGTACATTATTTTTGTTTCACTGTCACCTAATTATTTTCACTATAGTTTGGATTATGATCAGATAACCAAGCATTATCCCTTTACACCAGTTTTTCTAACATTAAAATATTTCTTAGTTGAATGATTTTGCCAGATGTGTGTATTGTGTAAGTCAAATCAAAACTGGATAAGCCTTAAATACATTAGCTATCTCAACAGAAATTAAATTTAACTTTATTGATAATTATTTATGGATGTGACTTGAATCTTATTGTAAAATTGCAGTTAAAACCAAGTAGGAAACATGATTTTATTTTCAAATAAAGAACAAAAACGCCTGACTGATTAAACCACAACAACTTGGCTTTAAACAGATTTCCTTCCTTATTGTGTCAAAGTTGTGTATGGCTTTAAAAAAAAAAAAAAAACACGCTAATATGGAAACGACACAATGCTTCTTAAAACACAAGTGATGCCTAGGGACCCTCGCTCTCCCTTTAATGATCCACTGCTCTCATTCAGCTGTCTTTCTTTTTTCAAATCTTTACATATGTGACAGCTCTCAAAAGTAGACCATAGACCATCTGGCATTTTTCAGAGGTGTAACTTGTGCAAATTCAGCTCTATTGGGAGCGCACTGCTATCTTCTGCCTGCGTTATAAAGGGACAATAGAATGTAGAACTTATGAGTTGTTTTGAATTATTCATTTTTTTGCCTGTATATTCAAGAAATTTTACAAACTCTGCATTTTGTAGTACATAATCACATGCGTTAAAGGTACAAAGAAACTTTTTGACACCTCTTTTCTACAGAAAGCTGGCATTTTGTTTGATATGTGAACATTCAGCATCTGTTATATCATTCTAAACAGGATGGGTACTTCTACAAAAGACCCCATTTTAAATTTACTCCATAATACTAGCAAAAAAAAAAAGTATTCTTGATATTCAGTAATGAATGCAATACACATCAAAATTTCAAATACCACTTATAAGAACATTCAGCATCTTCAAACCTGGATAGCATTGGTCATCTGCTTAGCATATGTGTAAAGATGTTTTTTAAAAAAATCATTGCTGACACAATACAGCATGATTGTAATTTTAATATCCATGATGAATAGTTACAAATGTCTTAAGAAATACTGCGCTTTCTAGGTTCAAATGTTTTCAATCAGGAAGGAAACCAATAAAATTAGGTCTAGTGATTTTCAATAATAATAATAAATATGGGAGTAAATGAGTCAATAGCATGAACTTCTTTTGATAATTTTTTTAAAAAACTGGTGATATTGTAGCTAGTAATAACTATACTGGAAACCACAGCTGCTGGAGTGGCAATATAAAGCAACATTTTGCTATAGCGTATAATCTATTAGTATGTGCAAATCATCTTCAGCCACTGGTCTCTTTACACAAGTCAGATTTAATAAAATTAAAAAGAATTCTCATGCTATTCAGCTTAAATGGTTGTTG